GCATAGGCATCACTCTCAATCGGATTATGAGAAGAGCTAATGTCCAATGTAAGAACACCACGTCAAATGCGAATTGTATGAAAGCAACAGCGGTGTTCGCTCAAACTTTTAGAATTTTATTTGAAAAAGTCAAAAAGTGGAATACTTCGAAAGTGAATGGTTATTCTGTAAGGATATTTTACAAATCAATATAAGCAAAATGCGAATAATTCCAGTAGTGGCGTATGTGCTCAAAGTGATTAAAAATCTTTGCTTCAAGTCATTCTTCTTCAATTAATTTGGCTTACGAGGAAACCTCCCGAGATGACGCCTTCCGTTTCCAATGGTTTATACCTTCATCGATAGAGTATATCGAACTCGTGAAAACCCTAAAGGGATATGGGCCCGGTTTGCTTCGTTGAAAAGTTATTGAATTCTTTCTGAAGACAAAAACAAATATAGAAATGTGAGCTGACCACGTGCAGACGGGGAAACGTAAATACTAGAGAAAATCCCATGTACTTTCCTTAAAAACAGAAAGCTCTATAACTTAGCGAATAAAAGAGATAAAAAGCTGAAACATTCCACGAACAAATATCTTTACAGAACAATCATTTCACCTTTGAAATATTTCACTTTCGAACTTTTTCAAATAAAATTTTCTAAACCGTAATAAATTCTACTATCTTGTACAGAATTTCATGCTTAACCCAAATCCGCATTTTATAATGCTATTTGAACTAAACTTGGTCTCGTTTTATACAAGTGATGATTGATGATAAAATCAGTGAGCTGCATTAGACAAAACGAGCAAGAATAAAATATATTTAAATAATGTCAGTTTAATTTTCAATAAGCAAATGAAAGCTGTTACACTGAAAACATAAGCAAAAGTGTGCACGTAAAGTATTTCATTATACTGAGATTGTTGCAAGTTTATCGGCATCAACAGTTACAGAAGAAACTGAAACTGCTTGTGATACAGGAGCAACGGTATTATTGCGCCACACTAGTTTTCGTTCAAAATATGGCCACCAAATGTATCGACGAATCAAACGTACAATTAATGGTACTAAAAGTTTGTAAACTTTTGTAAGTCCACCAATTAAACCAAGGATTGTTGTAATGATAAATATCAGTGTACTTCGACCTACATATGAATAAGTACAATATTGTGGTTGACAGGTATTGAAATAGACGTCATATGATGTTTTATTATCCCATTGTTCAATCATTCAATTTTGAACCAGTTCACCAACTGTTATTGTTGTATTATACTGAGTTGTTAAAGACGAATTAAGAATTGTAACATTGTTATTTAATGAATATTGTATAGCATTAAGTAATGATGATAAACATGTTTGATCATAGAAACATTGAAGATCAGAATGTAATACAGCATCAACAATATAACATCCCACGTAAATTCCTAAACAAGGTGAAAAACAAAAAGATGTAGAAAAAGTATTAAAAGTAACATATCAAATACCTGGTATACGAAAAATAAGTGCTATGTTACTCGAAACATAAAAAGAATAATGGTTATCATAATAAGGAGAATTTATACTATAAATAGCAGCTTGTTGAAAGCAAATAGATCCTTCTATGCAATTACATGATTCATTCATTGTTGTGTTATAAATGCGATCATAATCATAAATTAAATCTATATACGATGCGTAAGATGCTGGCGGCCCCTTCACTAACATTGTATTTGTTAATAAATAAGATATTAATGTATTTCCTTGTGTTGTAGTTTGAATTAATAGTAATGATCTTTTAAATGTATTTACTATTGTTTGTTTAAATGTATCAATAGTGTTTTCTGCTTGCGATTCAAGTGAAGTCTTTGAAATAACATTGACTGATATTAATTTTGTTGAATTAAAGATATCTAACTGATAACCAACTGTTTCGTGAGTTAACTGACATAATTTTGATAATAGTTGAAATGCAACACTTGCTGTTTGTCGAAAATCATCTTCGTTTGTTATGACAGCTAATGATGTATTATACCCAATGTTATTTATCCATTGCATGGTAATAAATTCTGATTGACAAATTTGATGATATTTAGGTTGAAATGAGACAAATTTTTGATAGTCGACTGTAATATTAGAACATGGACATTGAAGTGTTTCTGGATATTTTTGATACAATTCATTGTAAATCGGTAATGTTGGTCGTTTAACTTTAACAATTTGAGTTAAATTTTGACTAGATGCATAGATAACTAGAATAAAGAGTAAAATAAATAATAGAAGAATAAAAATCCATGTAGCAACTTGTTGGTTTTGCAAAGCATACTCCGATTTCTTCTCATAAGTTTTAAAAAAATTTAATGTCTTCAAAGCGAGTTTCACTTTAATCCACAATAAACTTCGATGATTGTTGTTATCGGCTAAACAATTATCCAAAAAACCTGTATGATTTTTGTTTGCGATTATAAATAAGATTCGGAGAAGCTGCGGCTCATATCGAGCTCTTTCAAAATACCGTGCTTTAGAGTACCGCAGTATGTAAAAATATTGCAAGGTTAATCGCTGTTCAGCCGAAGACTAGAATATTACATACTGTAGATGCCAATAAAGCACGAATCAACTGAGACACTTGAAATTATCTCGGACACAAATTGCAAATCTCAAATGATTAAGTTTATTAGTAGCGTTGCTATTGCTCTCAAGCATGTCTGATAAAACATGAAATACAATATATAGACGATGTAATCAGCCGCAGAATAAAACTTTTCGGCTTTGATGAAATGTCTTTTAAAAAGAAGAAAGCAGTTAAGAGTGGAGGCACAGTTGACAGCCAAGGCTCTGTACTGACAGAGAAGCAAGTTTTTAACCAGTTGAGGTAGTTTTATTTATAAGATTTATTAGGTATAATTCTTAACTATACAGTATACCTTCCATCCTAGTCCTAGATTATTTAAGTGATGGAAGAAAGAAAATAAGCTACTCAAAAATATTGCGGCTGCTCATTCCAAAGCAAAAAATTACAAGAGGTTAATTGTCGAAGTTTTGGACACAGTATCAATTCGAACAAAACAGATGGGTAAAGAGGCCCTTTTTTGCATTTTGAGGTGTTGAAATAAAGTTTAATACTTGTTCTCTTTACTTTTACAGGGAACACCAGAATAAGAATTAGATTCTTAAATAAGTTATACAATTTTTCATTTCTCCCGTGCTTCACTAGGGAAATCCAACAAGTGGTGGTATTAATAACTTTAAAACAGTTGTAATTCCACCTAATAAGCCAATAATGATGGTAATCATATAGATTAAATTAGCTTGTTTTTGATATGTATAAGTACATTCAATTGGTTGACATGTAGAATAATATTCATCATAGAATATTTGATCATTCAATCATTAATTGTTGAACAATTTTACCGATCATTGTATTTACTTTGTATTTATTTTTTAAAGATGAATTCGTTATGGTTGCATTTAACGATATACTGATATGTTATATAAATATGTATTGATTGAATTCAAACAAGACTGATTAAAAAAACATTCAAGAGTGGATAAAAGTAATGCCTCTGTAATATAGCAACCATAATAAAAGTGTGGAATGTTGAACAAAGTCAGTTCGGATGGAGTCCCGAGACTATAAATAGCACCATCAGTTACACATGACTTGTTAACTTTACACTAACATACCTTACCAGTATTGCTGTTGATACACGATGGTGAAGCCGGCAGTGATTGATGTGATGAATTATCGAGCACAAGCATGAGGTTAGTAGCCAATGCGTTACCTTGCGTTGTTTCACTAATCAGTTTCAACGAATTTTGAAATGATTTAATTGTTGTTTCTTGAAATAACGAAATAAATTCATCAGCTCGCAACTGAAATAGATTTTCCGATATGACACTTGATGTAATAAATGTTGATGAATTAAAAACTAAAAGACTATTCTGAATTGTTTCAAGCGATAATTTACAGAATGTTAATAATGCTAGAAATGAACCGGACATTGTAGTACGAAAATCACGTAAGTTTATTGTGTAAGCTGTAGTACCATAATCTAACCTTAGTCATGGTTAGATTATGGTACTACAGCTTACACAATACTGGTAAAGTCACTTGAACATACTTGATGAAATGTTGGCTGAAATGATATAAATTCTTTGTATTTAATTGATATTTGTGTACATGGACAATTAAGTGTTTGATTATATTTTGGATAGAGCTGCTGTAAAAAGACAGATGATGTTGGTTGTTTAACTTTAACAGTTATTATAACAGTTGTTAAAGTAGTATAAATGATAAGTATGACCATAAATATTGTAAAACAAAGAATCAACAATCGAGTAGCATAATACTCATTGGTTAAATCATACGTAGTTTTCTTTTCTGGATTTCTGAAGATGTTAAAAGTACGAATTTCATCTTTGATACGAGACCACAGTAGACGAATACGATCTTGAAATAGATTTGATGGCTCTAAAAGGAAATGTAATAAGAGCCATAGCTTTTTCAAATTAGACTGATTTTTGTTTTAATTTTCTCGGTACTAAACAGGTTCTAAAGAACTTTCGTTCGGACAGTTGCTTTTATGTTCGAAAATGTATATCTACAGAAGAAAGTCATGGAAACTAAGAGACATCTCATTTTGATCAAGTCAGAATTTATATTTGTTATCTCTAACTTTTATGGATTTTCTATAAAACAGGTTCTGGATTTTGATTACAATGAGTATTTGATCATATTTTTCGACTTCGGCATCGGTAGTAAATAATGAAACAAAAAGATTCGTATAAGACGATACGTTTCCATTTCATTTATTTACCTGTATTTATTTCATCATCAATAACAGCTGACATTTTCTTTCGTTGGCGAATGAATTCGACGATCAATGGAATCAAAAACATCAGAGCAGTTGCGATTCCTCCGATTAATCCAAATGCTGTTGTAATAATATAAACGAAGTTGTTATGTGCAATGATATTGTATGTGCATGAAATTGGTTGACATGTACTAAAATACGATTCATATGATATACGAGAATTCTAATCTTCAACCATTAACATTTTAAGAATATCACCAGTTGTTGTCGCAGGTGTGTAATTAGTTGGCAGAGATGGATCAAGTGCTACTACACTTATATTAAATCGATCATTGTCAAGAAGATACGTTTGTAATTGATTTAAAAGCGACTGATTGTAGAAAAAGACAAGATTAGATTGAAGAAGAGCTTCTATTATAAAACAACCCGTACGTAAACCTATAATATTCAAAACAATTGTGTTATCATACCAAATATCAAATTCTGTCGAACACATGGACGACATACTACAGAAACAATTATAGAAGCGATTTGCAATAATAAATGTATCTGTGTCTGGGACAAAACTTAAATAGTAATTTGTCTGTAATACTGTGAAAAATGCGTTCCCTTGTGTTGTACCTCTTATCAACGCTAATGATGTTGAAAATGAACTCTTAATTCTTTCTTCAAATGTATTAATGAATCCAAGGGCTTGTTGACTAAAGTGAGTTCCGGTATTAGTATTCCTGTTATAAATTTTGTGGAATTAAATGATAAACGTTCGTCTGTGATTATTTGTTGACTTAATAGACAAAACGTTGATAACGTTTGAAATAATTGAGCAATCAGAAGATCGAAATCGATTGAAAGGCGTGTTTCTTGTCGTAGGTGAAGATATTTTATCCACTGATCATTAACAAAATTAGAATGACATATTTGGTGATATGTTGGTTGAAATGAAATAAACTTTTCATATGGAACTGAAATTGTACTACATGGACAAACAAGTGTCTGCCTATAGTATTGATTAAGTTCAGTATAGTCAGCAAAACTTGGCTCTTGTACTCTTTTAGTTAACACTACTTGTTCCAGTGATGTATAGAGAATGAGAATAAGAATAGAAGTTATAAATAGAACAATAAATAAACGTGTACTTATACACTGATTACGTAGATCATGTGGTGTTTTCTTTTCAGACACCTTTTTTTGTGTGTTTTTTTTTTTAATTTTTTTTAATTTTTGTGTTTTTCTTTTTCGGTGTTGAGTGTTGTTTGTATTAATTAAAGAGCAAAGAAAATAGAAAGAAATGAGCTTTTCTCATTTTAATTATTTTAAACGTTTTTTTGTTTTGTTGAGACATGAAAAAATGTACACCACACCACAGAGTAGATGGCAAACGATACACTTCGAGATGAAAACTACTAAAATGTTAGTAATTAGTATTTCTCCAACTTCTTCTGCTTGAAATACAATTCATAATAAGCAATACGTCAATCTTTCTCAAGAGAAAAACATCTTTCTAACAATTATTCATCCATAAACACTTTTTAACCAGTAAGAGTCAGAGAAAGCGAAGGATTGAGAAAGTTGCCACTGTATAATTATCTCACATATTCTGCTAATGTTTGCTATCATACACACTCAAAATACAAGTGCTGCGCCACCTGAAAACGAAGCATATCACACCATTTGCCAATCTAGATTCTTCTTTGTATTAGCATACACATTTCTCCAATTGGTACTACTAGTAGTGATAGTATCTCATCACACAAGTTCGAGTGGTTCTCTGTCTATTTTCATTTTTTTTGTTTTAACAAAAAAAATGAAAATAGATGTTAACATTCTGCCGGTATAATCCTGTCGTTACCACTGATATCTGAAAAAACTAAAATCAAAATATTACGTATTGATTTTTCTGATCGACAGGCTGAAAAATCGGCATGTGATCGATGCGTAGCTGTCATAAAAGGAAACGTACGACGATGTCTCAACGAAAAACACAATATAACGATTTAAGATTTGAAGAATAGATTCTATTTCACACCGGCGAGTTTTTAAAACCTGGCCAGATTAGATCGTTCTTTTCACGTTTGAAGTCGATACGTGAAAAGCTAACAGAAACAGTAGTTGTAGACGAAGTGAAGGAGGAAGATGATGATGAATTTGACGATAATCAGGTAGTTGAAGAGACTGAGCAACGAAATAATTTAAGATATTCAATGGGAGTTAGCAACGAACAATCATCACCTCCGACTTCCTCTCGAAACCGAGCAGTGTCACCAGATAAAAGAGCTGGATCAACGACTGATGTTCGTCCCGCTGAAAAACGTTCATCATCGAGGAAACGTACTGTTGTCAAATAAAACATTGAAATATTTATAATATGTCGGTCTATAACCACTTGTACCTTCATCAGGATACTTGATTTAATATAAAAAGTGTGTTTTTTTTCAAGAAAGATTGATTTTAAAAAAATGATAGTATAATTAATATTAATATGAATATGTTTGCGTTGTACATTATATCTTGTTGAGAAATAGAAATGTGAGATTCACGCTGAAAAATTTGATAATCAAAAGTATCTTTATTTTGTGATCATTGGTATCTAATAATGTTTGGTGATCAAAAGTAACTTTTCTGCTGATCAAAAAAACTGATACCCTAAATAGGCCTATGAGACTTTATGTGTAAACGGCACAAAACTATTCGAAAACCACTCCCCAAGTCAACTTTCGCGCCTCAGTCACGACGCGATCGCTGTTAAATCCCCCATATCGCGGCGCGATCTCTAAAAAATCTTGTATTCCCATCGCGATCGCCCTGGACTCATAAACTCGCGCCGTGAACGATCACAAACAGTTGATGATAATATTGGTTCATCTGGAGGAAAAGCATTTACTTGTGATAATAAATATTTATTATAATCAGTTGAATTATGATGAGATATTAATGGTGAATTTGAAAGAAATGAACCGGAAGCTGACTAAGAAAAAAAAATAAAATTAATGAAAATTTTTTAAATAATATTAACATTTATTCCACTGCTTGAAATAACTGGTGTAGAAAAATGAATTGATTCATTTCCTAATGTTGTTTTTATTGAATTATACCAATGAAGTAAACGTTGTTCATAAACGTTTTCAGTATCTGATGTTGGTAAACATCTAAATTTTATTTTATTTTATTTTTTATAGAAAAAAATAAAAAGAAGTCAACAGTTAAACAGATTGCAGCTAATATGTCATATTGATATGATATTTTGTTAATATAAAATCTTTTTTATTTAATATTAAATAGAATCGATGCTCTTCGTTAGTGTACCATAAACATAATATAAAGTATGAGATATGAGCGAAAAATATATTATAAATAAAATAATATCAGCAGAGAAAAAAAACTAATCCTTTCAAAGTAACTACAGGCAATATAATGAAGATCGTCTATATAATTTTTTTCTTCTTTATAGATATTTTTTTTTCTTTTATTTCGATGTGTTATCTGTTTCGATCATCCAAAGTTATAATGAAAAAAAAGAAACAAGACAGTAAACTTTAAACTAACTAATACTTTAAACTTTAATTGTCGGTGTATGTGTCAAAAAAAAGAAAGAAAGTAAGCAATATATAACTTTGAACAAAAAAACGATAACATTAGCGCAAAATTGACTTTTTATACGGAGAACAGAATCGGTTCAAATTTTTTTTCTGAAGAGCTTATTATATGAATCGATGGTCAGCAAAGTATCTCTTGATTCAAATCACTTTGCGCTAATGAAAAACGTTTATCGTCGATTTGTATTGTTGTTTGACTTATTATAAGATTTAGTCACAAATGATTGATAGAAAAAACCAATGTCGACAATTTCTGGAGCAACATCATCTGTGACATCAACATCATCGGGCCATTGTAAACCAAGTCCAAATTCTATCAAGAGCCTAACATATTGTTGACAATTTACTACACTACTCCAACATTTTATTCCTGAATTACTTTGTATTAGGTCACGATAAACAGCTTCTCCCTAAAAGCGATCAAAATAAAACGAAAAAAATTGTTACTTCTTATAGAAAATATTCAGTAGAGAAATAATAAATACTTACTAATGGTATTAAATACATATTACTACGTTCACTTGAAGGATGATGAGCTGAACACAACTTTGGGCTACCTCCCAGATCGAGGATCCACGACCGTATACTACAATATACGTCAAATTACGATGAAATACGTCAGTCGTAAACGTTGACAGATACGACGATTACCCAAATCATGCAATTGTTGACAAACGTCTAAATAATTATATGCAAAATGACCATTTTGAGTTGTTTTCCGAACAAAACCCTTTAAAAATATTTCAACAGACTTCGAGACAATACTGTTTAGCTGTAGTATGCTGTACCAGATGATACTTTTCGAACTTATGCGAAGAACACATGAACACACTATCCTTATAGAAATTTTATCTTAGCTACGCCATGAATCAGGCTTTACAAATGCATACTTTATTAAATGTATTTCAGTTAGGAAGATGCGAAATTTTATCCTCAAATGTACACTGTTTCTTTTTTATATCTGTCTCCAAGTGTTTATTTTAATACAAGTAGAAGAAATTTCTTGTCTCAAAAGAAAAAAATTAAAGCTTGATCTGTTCTTAGCATCACTATTAAACAACTTAAGAATGTTTTCATCTGTAAAATATTTTCAAAATTTTTATTTCCTTTCTGCACGGTTCAGCAGTAATGTGCACAAAAAATATAATTTTATTTTAATTTTATCGTTTCTTCGAAAAATAAAATCACACACAGACAAAACGTTTATGTGATCAACAAGACACTAGTAAGCCATATAAGAATATAAATGAAATGCTAACATTTTCTAAACGACAATAAATTGTACAAGCAAACAAAATAAAAAAAAATACGTTTTTTTTGCTCATTGTTTTCTACCTTTCAAGAACTGAAAAAATAAAAAATTCATTTCCAGTGTTTTTTAGAGACGTTTTAAATAAATATAATAATAACAGAGAGGTAAGGGGTAACCAAAAAAAAATTAAAATTAATTTTTATTTTTTAGTTGTTCATTTGTCAGTCGTATGGTTTAGAATTAATTAACAACGATATAGCATTTTAGCATACAACTAGCACTCGTCTAGAAATCATAATGTATGCACGTGTCAATTCATATTAGCCTCTCTCTATCTCATCACTGATAAAATTTATTTTTTAGTTTATTTCATGCCATTCTCTTAAGACCATTGATAATGACCGTTCTACCGGATATCAAGGCGACACCAATTCGTACTATTCAATCATCTCGATTATCTCGAACACAGTCATTACCAAAATTAAGCGAGCCAAATGCGATTATTGAGAGAAAACCATCATCACGAAAAAATGAGATACGTACTTCAATACCACCACAACGTACTAAAACACCAAAAATAAAAATTGTTGCCCGACATAGTCTATTAAAACAACGATTTCCAAAAACCGATGGAGCTAAACAATATAATTTTATCTGGAAACCATTTGTAAAAGAACCGTACGATTACGATTATCAATGGGAACCAGGTGAGTATTTAAATCTTTAATTTATAATAAATTTTCAAACTATTTTTTAAATCAATTGTATGTTATTGATATTTAGTTCTTCGTGAAGATATACGACATCAATATGATAATTATATACCACCTGAAAAAATTATTGCTAGTCGTCCTGATGATCCGTATGCAATGACTACTTATTTTGAAACAGAAGATAGACACTACCAAAATTATACACGTCATCAACAAATGAAACAAGCACAATGGAATAGAGATCATATTGAATATACAATTTATCCCTATTCTAAGATAGATGAGAGAGAAATGTATAAGTAAGGAAAAAAATTTTTATTACCTTTTGATGAAATTCGTATGCTCTCTAATCTCTTCTCTAGTAAACGAATACGATCAACGTTGAAAGAACAAATGGAACAAAAAACGCTTTCAGATAAATCTATTCTTATGGAGAAGAATCATGAAACATTAATGGCAATTGAACAAGATCGACATGATTTAGAACATGATAAACAAAAACAAATAGCAAGATCAAAAATTTTGTTAAATGTTACAGCTAATAATAAAAAGGTATATACTTTTAGTTAACTTTGAAGAGATTGAATATGTATGTATGATCAATTATTATTTTTCTAGTTAATGGAAAATAAATGGGACTATGACAATTGGAACAGAAAATATCAATGGCATGTTGATCGAAGTATTTTAATGGATGATCCTATTAATTGGAGTAAAACTATGACATAATAATACAACACGAGTCAGTTTTTTTAATAAAATGTTTATTTATGATCGTACGATTCGTCAATGTTACTCTATTGTCAAGTGTGTGATCTACAAACACTTTCGATAGGCGCGCTCTATTGCTTGACTATTGTTCTAATGACGGTAAAAGCTTTTAGTTCATCCAATGTGTAGAACTTGTTCATTTCTATTTTTGTAATGTAATTGGAGTCCTTTTGTTATTTCAGTTTTTCTGTTTGACACTAGAACTACAAAATGGTTAGTTTTTTTTCATTTTTCAGTTTAATGCGATTTCTTTTTGAAATGTGGAGAAACGAAGGCTTCTGGAGAGTTGATAATCATCAATATCGCATTCACCCGTCTTTCATTTTCATGCTGGGCAGAATATTTGAACTTCATTTTGTACAAGACATGAGTGAAAGTATTTCAAAATTATATCAGTAATTCATGGGGATACGTTTTTGAACAAACGCGGAAGTTCAACTCATTGGATGTCGAAGAGCGATATATGCAAGGGGGAAACAGCTGATTGAAGCCAGCTGAAAATCATCCAAACTCAATCAATTTTCAGTGAATATCAGTGATCCCCTGTGATTCTCTGTGATTTCCAATGACTTCCAGGCATTTCTGGTGACTTTTCATTTGGTGAAAATCGATTCAAACAGTGAAAATCGGAAAAAACCCAAAATCAGCTGTTTCCCTATTGGATATATGCCAATAAACTAGAACACAAATAAGCTAGAACGAATATTGCAATCGCAGTACAGAGCGTCCCTCTATACACTCACTACTGCTTATGAACGTATACTATTCAATGTAGAACATAAACCAGATAATGAAATCGATTGAAAATTGATTTTTTATTGTTCATTCTATTAGACACTCAACAAATTGCCTCATTAAAAGATTATATAAAAAGTAAGTTTCTAACGAGAATGTCAATGCTTTTAGAAAAGAATTGATCAAATTCTACTACCTTCGCAGTGCAGTGTAATGGCATTATTATCTCATTACCAGTCAAAGTTTATGCTACATATTTATAACAGTGTCATATATTATCTTTTCTATGTGCACATCCACCGTATGTAATCTCTTTATGAAAACAGATACAGTAAACATCGCAGAAAAGGGAGATAGCATACTAAAACATCAATCAGCTGCACAGATCTACTCCAGTACCATTGTCTCATCTACTAACAGTCAGAAGTTAAATAGGCGGGCAGGAAAAAAGAGTAAAGAACTTCATTATATTACTATAGCGACGGAGAAAACGGTAAGATCGTACCGTTGTTCTTGCGTCTTACAAATGTATAAAATACAAGAATTTGTTTAATTTTACATTATTTTTTGACATAAAGTGCGAATAGAGAGAGTAGAGCTCTTGTAGAGTAGCTAGAAAACTCCCAAACTTTGAGAGCAGAAATTCCAGTCACATTATTATTTTAAGTAGCCAAATTGGAGCATGTTTTGAAGTATTCTGAACCGTTTTTTAGTGAGTGGCAAATTTTCTAATCTTGAATGAATACAACGCGAAACGCCGTCTAAAGAAATTGCTCGCTAAATTTTTCAAAATTTTTAATAAAAACAAACACGGCAAACAGACTCCGCGTATTTGATAAAGTATGTTCCAGTTGTTTCTGAAGTCTGACTACGTTAAAATCCAGGTATAGGAATGTCTCATGTGAAGTCCCAGCACAATGATAGATAGGCATCGCTGACTTGCATAGATTTGTAGAGCAGATGTAACTCTCTTCAGGCATGTTTTTAGAATAGCAAACTTCCTAGTCTTGTTTGATGAAAACGTGTGCAGTTATATCTGAAAAATCGTCGAAAAGCAATCTTTTTTACTTACAAAAGCAAAGTCGAAACTATTTCCAATTTATCACGAGATATTGAAAAAATGGGATAATTTCGAAAATACAATGAACACATCTATAACATGTTTGTGAATATAATGCATGTTAGTATTAATACTTTCAAAAATAATGCAGCTTGACTTGTTAGTTATGTTATTGGTCACTTACTTCAAAGGTATTGCGTTTAAACCATTAAGTCGCTGTCATAATCTTTGATGTGTTATAAATACCTTTGTTCCACAGTATACTCATTACGTTGAAATACAATATTAAATACCGTTATGTTAGAAATAACGGGTGGCTCAGACTAAATGTCCCATTCAGTATTTTCTCAATATATCAGTCAAGGTTGATCACCAAGTTTCGATCTTTTTTAAAAAGATTCCTCAATCAATTCTCTACACAAAATATATTGAACATTTCTTTATATATTATAAGGATAAAATATATATAGAGGAAATACGAGAAAACTTCAATATCGATTACTTTCAAACCCAAAGCGCAATCAAAAAATATTTATTTTGAACACGGTGCCATACATCAAAGTGGAATAGTAATGTATTTTCTTGTGTTCCGGAATGTCACCTTTCTTTTCCTGCATCATAAGTTTGCTACAAACCTTTTTTTCTGCCACGAACAAAGATTTTACTATTTCTAAAAGTTAAAAAGGGAAAATTTGATTTCGTCTCCTTGACATAGGACTTCGACTTTCTCTGCTCGGATGTAACAGGAGAATCGTTTTGCTTTAAGGTAAATTAGACCCGACCTCATAATGTGTGGTTTTGACCAAATCATACAAACTTTCCTAAGTGCTTCAAAACTGCAGTTAGAAAATGATTTGGGGCAAAATCACTAAAAGAAAAATAAATCCTCTTGAGATCGCTTGAGTCTATGAAAAGTCTTAAATATAGTCAGTTGATAGAGCTTTTCGAGAACTACAATATAGCGATTTTCTCTTTTTTCTATAACGCAAAATTTAAGGGACTGAAATTGAAAAACCTGTTGTTTGGGATTGAAAGTAATCGATATTGAAGTTTTCTCGTATTTCCTCTATATTTTTTTATTCTTATAATATATAAAGAAATGTTCAATATGTTTTGTGTAGAGAATTGATTGAGGAATGTTTTTAAAAAAAGATCGAAACTTGGTGATCAACCTTGACCAAAATATTGAGAAGATACTGATTGGGCACATTTATTCTGGGACACCTATTATATATATATGCAATCAATGATATCCATCGTAAAAGGTATGATTTAAAACGAAATCAGCACAAGAACTATAAATGAAAGAAATGTTTGTTTAGTTCTTCCTCTTAAATGATGATGACATGACTATTAAGGTCGAAGATTAAATAAATAAATCGAGATGATTTTGTATATGATTGCACATGTATCTTTATGAATTTAATGCTCAGATATAAATCCGTTTTTATTTCCAAGCATCTGCCATCCTATTTACGTACAGTATTCACATGATAAGAATATGTAGTACAGGCACAGCTATTAAGAGAAAAAGAAATCAAAGAAAAGAATGATGAAAACTAATCAGATGAGATATGTAGAATATTTCTCTTTACGACTACCTCTAGCAATTTTGGTAAACTAAGTTTTAAATATAAATGTCAGTTAGTGAATGTTGATAATCAAAAAGAAATGAGATTACGTCGTGGAACATTGTTACAACCAATCCATCCTGTTATATTTCCTCATCATGTTCAGCACGATATTCATCAATTATCAGTAAGTAAATAATTGTTTTAGCACAAGTCATCGTTTTCTTTAAATTTAATAATAAATCAAATTTAGTTGATTAAAACTGTTAATCTACAATAGACTGTCCTTCGACAAGAATCGAATAACATTGGTGTAATGATAAGCATATGTTAACAAATTTCCACTTAAATAATTCCATGTGCATTATTCATAAAAAATACTTTAAAAAGACGTTTTGAGAACAGAGAATCTTAAAACAGCCATTTTTGTACAGTAGCAGTATGGATGCATTCGTTTAGATGTCAATTAAAAAAAAAAATCAGTGCTATTAGACTAATAGAAAACGCTCACTGAGAATATAGTACAATTATAGCGTTTATAATTTAATCGCTAAAATGAAAGATCAGGCTTTTTTTTCTTACCAAACGAATACCGTAGATAATGATCAGAATTGTTCAAAAATGAAGAAAACAGAGAAAATAAAATAACGCATAGTACACACACTTTTAAAATGATATCCTAAACATGTTTTTGTTTTTTAAGTGTAAACAAACAGAACTACCTGTACTTTTCAATCAGAATAGTCTGAAAAAAAAGAGGAAAAGAAGAAATATTAATAACAATAACATAGTCTTGTAGAGAAACATTTCGATTGATCGACAAACAGTTCTGTAAAGTAAAAATGAAATAATCTCAATGGTAGATCATTATACAACTTCCAACTTGGCAGATTGAATAGAAGACACTTCCAAATGAGTTTTGGTTGAATCTACTATTCCGAGATACAACGTGAGATCAACAATCGAGTTGTATTAAATGAAGAACGTATTGCTCTTCATTACAGTTTTTGATCAATCTGTCAGCATTCAAAAAGATAGCCTTGATACACTAATATGTTTTATTAGCACGTTTTCCTTTTTTTGGCAATTCTAAATCACTTTTTTGGTACTTTATGCACCTGACTCTAGTAAAGTAAATTGAAAAAATTCTATTTAATTTAAAAAATCATTAATACTTCAACTATCAATCACATTATGTTTGAACATTATACTATTTCTAGTTTGCATATGCTGGCAAATAATGAAAAAAAAATTCTTGCTTTATTTTCATGGTAGAAGAAAAAAAAAAAATAGTAACAAATTAATTGTGTCTAATGTAATATATGTGTGTCAATATGCAGTAGTGTAAGATAATAATAACAATAACATCGAAAAAAATGATTTGCACCATATTACAAAGAAAGTGTTCGATAATCTAAACACAAGAGCATTATCATCGACTAAATATATATTTTTTTAAAATCTCACATTCTTTCCACACTAAAAGAGAATGACGCGTCGAAAACACTTTGTTAGCGCGATAGGAGAAGATTATTCCAAACCTCAAAATGAAGAAAAACAGAAGAAAGCTCACGCACATATTAGTTTCAAGG